CACCGCCCGCAGAACGGGGACCCCGCCCCGGCCGCGCCGCCGCCAGGGCCTCAGCCGGCCGCGGAACCGGGGGAACTGATCCCTTCCGACTGACGGCGCCTCTCCCCCAGAACAGCCAGCCCGAAGAGCGCGCTCCGGCCGTAAAACACCACATCGCCTCCATCGCTCGCACGCTCACACGGAAGCTTGCGTACCCGGCCGCACAGCTGCCTTTACATGCCACCTCAGGGTCATGTGGAACAACAACAGTATGTGCTTTACGCGTGTCACACCTCGTTCTTTTCCAGACGCTTGCAGACTGACGGATCCGATCATCTTCCCTAAATAACTGTTTTTAAAAGCTATAGATTCCATTCAAAACTCTTCTAATACACGAATTTCACTTCCTGTTCCTGCTATTTCAAGGATACTGCTCAAATTAGCATTTTCCACCGTGGCGCTATAAAGTACCCATTCAACAGGAATTTTCTCCATTTGCATGAAGATTATTCAATAAGCAAAAGCATAATAATCTCAAGGAAAAGAAAAGACCAACAGATTTGGAACAATGTGGCATATTTGAATATCCACACGGACTACTAAAAAAATTAGAACAGTTCAAGGATAAAGGAGTCGGAAACCAAGTCAACACGCTTGCATGATGCACGTGCTGGGCTCAGAAAAGCTTAGGCATTATGGAATACAGATGTAATGATGGCAAGATCATGGAAGTGCAAGTTTCAGTGGAAGCAACAGAAGAACACACTGCAATAAATTGTTTTGGTCGGACAAGAAAGTAAGGCTACAGGACCTGAGCAAAGAAAATTATCTTTAAAAATGCTTTCGTACTATTTGAAATACAAGTCCTGTTCAAGGAAGACCGTGGAAGCTTGTATCAGCACTACAACACGTGCAGATAACCCCCATTTACTATTAACAAACACGACTAACTCGATACAAGGTATGCTTCAGCTTCACCCCCAAACGTGCAATATACAACATCCCCACCAGTTAAGAGTCAAGAAAGGTTTCAAGCAACACAGAAAAGCTGAAGAAAACCAGCACAGAAATGGCTTTCGAGAAACTAAGAGCGTGTTCTGAAGTGTCTGAAACATGCTCTAGGCTTTCTCTCCGGCAGCAAAGCAGCTGTCCCCAAAACAAAACCACGAGCCCTTCGCCAGGTTAGCTAATGCTGCATGCTCTTTGCTACCCTGTGATGTAATGTGCAATGCCTGAAGAGAGAAAGCCTTTGAAACCCCAGATGGGTAAAAAAAAATTACAGTGAGAATGGGAAGACGCAATCAATTCACTGTTAAAAAGCTCGGCTGAGGTGCAGACATAAGGAAAGCAGTTTCAAGAGAAGTTCAAAAAGATGACGTACCTCACGTGCCACGGAATTAACAACAGTACATGGGGAATAGATTGATATCCTTTCAGCTTCTCATCTTTCAAAGGTGTTAGCTTCAGACACCATTCTAGAAATCACATCTCCTGCATTTCACCAAAATACGGGGCACCTTTGAGAAATTCAAGTTAACACCATCCGCTTCTCCAAAATCTTCACTCATACCAAACAGATTAGACTTGGGTTTAACATTTTAATTTGCTTTTGAGAGGGTAACTGAATATTAGTTTTGGGAAAAAAAACCACAAAACTTCTGTATAGTCATCTTAATGGCTGGAAGGGGAAAAAAAAAATCTCATTACATAATGCTGAAGAGTGATGCAAGGACAGAAAAAAATGCCTTATCACAAATTTCTATGTGATGCAATAAAATCTTTTTTCAATCACATTTCAGAACTAATTGAATTCGGAGACTTCCATTCAAAATGCATTCTTAATGCATTACAGCCATCAACAAAGTAATACAGAATCTTTCAACTTCTTCAACTGTACAATCATATTTGAAAATGAGACTTTTTTAAAAAAACAATACCCTGTTACAGAGCGCTGGAAATGAGAACATTTCATGACAGTGTTCGAAGTTGTGAAAAACACTGACAGGTTACTTTTTTCAAGACACGATATAAGCCAAAGAATGTCAAAACCCAAAAGCTAAACGAACTGCTGAAAATACTCATTAAACAGGTGTAAATAAGAACTTAAAAGAAGATACATGTACAATATCATCAGAAATTTGTACAATTCAATATTGATAACGTCTGTGAAATATTATAAACAATCAATATTTTATAAGATATTATAAACAAATGGAAAATATTAAAGTCACCAGTATTTCTTTGGCGGCAGAAGGAAGTTTCGTGAATGCAACAGAAAAAAGTAGTATGTGTATATTTAGAAACAAGAAGGGCGGGGGGGGTGTACACATATCCCAGTACACACAAAGCACATCATCTCATGCCCAAGAAACTGCAAGCGTTACCGATACGGAAGTCCCAAGTGAGTATTATCTTGAGAATGAAGGTAATTAAAAAGCACACTTTGTTCCCATTAAAAAGGGGCACCAGTGTATTTTAAGTAGAGACCTTTTTCACAATTTTTAAAGTAGCATTAGGTTAATTTTATATTAAAAATTCTTAGGATACCATATTGTTGTACCATAGCTGCTCCAACTATGAAAAGTCTTAAACTGCTGAGGACATCATCTATAGCACTATGGAAAAGCCAGCTTTTCAACTACATGTACTTACTATTTCTGAAAATAATTTTCCAAGGAATCTACCTTTCCCACTCATAATCATCAATGTACAGTAAAACAGAAGGGAAAAAGGTTTTAGCAGGCTCTAGTGAAAATATTATATATGGCCCTCACCATCACCAAAACCACACTTCAGCAACCGAACACATAAAACATTGAGTATATTATGCACAAGTGTCTCAGAGAATAGCTTGTGAATAGTTTTTAAAAAATAATATTTTTAATTTCTATTTAAATTTTAAAGGACATTTTAGGGCCCGAGGTTCTTCCATTTTGAAGTCTATCAATTTACCTCTCACAGCTCCTGAGAGATGCTAGATCGCAAGGGCCTGGCATGGTTAATATCAAATGCATGCCTGCTCCTGCAAATCTGTCAACATTGGACACAGAAATGTACATCCCTGCTTATACACAGCCTCTGTACCTACTGGCCTACTTCAAAATTTTTAGAAGACGGTTCATGACATAAATTATTAATCAACTACACAATACAATTTAGTCTCTATACACTTTGGTTTTGATTCATGAGTTATGAATTTTTTTCAACCCTTCCAGACACTGTTTTCTTTAGTGCCCTTAACTACATGCTATTTGTTATTTCAGACACCTCAGGGCTTCTCTTTTCCCGCATAATAAGCCAAAAAGCCAGAGCAATCCAATGTAACAGAATATTATAAAACAAGATAAAAAAATTTTACAAAATTGAGGCAATTCTCATGATGATTTCCTTTTCCAAAATGTTATCTGTCCAGTTCATCTCCTTTTCATACAAAATTACAACAATTTCCACTACCTTGTAGTGACCCAGCCTGCCTGAAATTGCAGGTAGTTTTTTTCTTGCACCTCAAGACACTCCCTACCAACCCCTCTTTCCACTCATCAGGAAAGGAAATCCCAATGGATTTATATAATCATGGAATCAGTCATCCTGTTCGTGGCTACCTCTGCAGTGAACCACCAGACCTTAACGTTCAATGTTTCTGATGCTATCACATATGTTCTCTTGTATACAATGTGGTCACCAATTGAGTCATCGCTAGTGGGCAATCCAGATCTTCTCCAAATTCAACACATACTATGTGGCAGATGCAGATACAAACAGCACTATGTAAACACATACAGTATTATTACGCCCATCAAATTATAGTGACCTGTTTCTAATCCAATACAAAAACTTGAGCCTTGACTAGCGCTGTTTGCCTTCTGCTTCATCACTATCATTAACTATTTCTTCTGCCTATCTATGCTGGCATACTAAACATCATCCCAGGAGGTGTTTTTTTCTAGCTATCAAAGATTTTCCTTCCAACAACTTTATAATATAAAATTAAGCAGGAACAGTGTCCTACAGAAGATATAGAACAACCACATAAAAATCATATTAGTAAGCAACTACTACCATAACTATAGTATTCATTTTTAAATGCAACAAAGAACTTCATCAATATACAAAAGTGAATAACCCGTACACTAGCCAACCAGAATTTTCCATATTCTAGAGAATCAAGATCCAAGTTAGCATGGAATATCGGAGGCTATACTGCTATGATACTCCAGTCTTGCAAAGAAAGACAAGCTGAGGAACAAAGTTCAGAGAAAAAAACAACTAACTGATAAATCCCCAAATTTCATTCTAGAATGAAAACTAGAAATCTCTGATCAATAGCAAAAACCTGAGTTTGGATCACTCACTCTGTACTATAAAATCAGAGAACATCCCAGCTTTCACGTCTTATAATTACATGTAGCATTAAATAAGAAAACAGGTTTCTTTGTAAATTCAGACCATCAACAAATTATAAAGCAAAATAGGATGTTTCCCCCATCTTTTGAGCTTGGAAGGGGAGGAAGCAGGACAGAAAGCAAAAGCTAGGGGAACTATAAAGGAAATTCCTGAAAATTCAAGCTATACTAAAAACAATTTATCAAATGCCACCGCTAGAAAAAGAAAATGCAGCAATGCATGAAATAAACTGGTGTAAGCAACAACAGCAAAAATTATTGATATTTGGTAATCTACTGTAATAAAAGAAAGTTAAGCCACAAACTAGCTAGTGAAACAACCTTTTTTTTCCATTATATATAGTTAAACAAAAATACAGAGAAAAAGAATCATTCTTTAAATACAAATCAAAACCAAATACTTGCATTAAAAAGATCACGGACCACTTCCAAACTGGACTTTACCATATTTTTCCTTTTTAAAAACAAGCAAATAACTTATCTCACTGACACTGCCGAATCCCACCTACTACAGTGGCGTGAAGATGGTGATACAGAAATACTGCTCAAAGCTGTATACTGCACACTCTTGCACTGCACCTGAAGTGGTGCTCTGTGACAAAAGCCTCCTCTTTTCTCCGTTCACTGGCTCTGTATCCTCAGCGCCAATATCGGTAGTCAGTCAATGGCCAGAGCCTTCCCTGACATAGGACACCTGAACCTCTAGCACGCCCACACATGGAACCTATAGCGTGATAAACTGTGGTATGAACTCAGAACAGCAGCTGTCCCACGCTAACCTTCTCAGATACCAAACTGAACATGCCTTTCTCCAGCCTGCCATAGTTTGAGCGCAGTAAAACTAACTTTGAAAATACAGACGGCAGAAACCACAGAATCTAACAAAATAAAGAAAAACTTCATATGAAAATACAGACATC